CTCACCCTGACTGGGGATCCAACCCACAACTTTGGTATGTGCCCTAACCAAGAATTGAACCTACAACCTTTTGGTTTATGGGACAACACTCCACTCAGCTGAGCCACACTGACATCCTTTTTATGTCCAAGGATCTCATCCAGGCTGCTACAGTATATTGAATTGTCATGTTTCAAGGGTGCATACTATTAACATGATTCATCACTGTTGATGTTGACCTTAATGACCTGACTAAGCCAGTGTTCATCAGATTTTTCTGTTGTGAAGTTACCATCCACCTTCCCACACTGTACTCTTTGAAGGGAAGTTACTATGTGCAGCCCACTTTTAAGAAGTGGGGAGTTGCCGAAACCAGTTTAGCTCAGCGGTAGAGCATCGGTCTGAGGACTGAAAGGTCCCAGATTCGATTCTGGTCAAGGGCATGTACATTGGTTGCGGGCACATCCCCGGTAGGGGGTGTGCAAGGGGCAGCTGGTCGATGTTTCTCTCTCATCGATGTTTCTAGTTCTCTCTCTCCCTTCCTCTCTATAAAAAAAAAAATCAATAAAAAATATATATATAAAAAAGTGGGGAGTTAACTATGAAAAATGTTAGGAATTCTTCCACTTGGGAGATGTGTATGTTCTCTCCCACTTATTTATTCAATCATTTATTTTATATCAGGATGAGCTCATGGATATTTACTTTATGATTTGGGTTATAATTCAATACTACATTATTTATTTTGTTCAAATTGTTCCAGCATTTGGAGCTCTTTTGTTGTCTCCTGTGTCCCTTTGACATCCTCTCATAATTGTGGGGTGTTTTTCTGTCAGTTTCTTTGTTTCCTAAGCACTTTTTTCCTTTCTGGCACTAAAAAGATGTCCCGGGATCATCTTTTATATTTCCTGCCCCAGACCTAGAATAAGCTACTTTTTAAGGAGCACTCCTAATGTATATTTTGTATGTTCCTTTGTTATAGTTTATAAAGTATTTTGGTCGCCCGTGTGCTTAACACTTGACATGCATTGTCTTTGTTCTCACGTCAATACCATTAGGTAACCTTTAACTTCATTTCATAAATGTGGAAACTGAAGCTCAAAGAATGTAAACGTTTTACACACAGTTAGTTAAAAATAGAGTTGTGATTCCAGCCCAGATCTGTCTGGCTCCACAGCTTACGCTTTGAACCTTCACAAGGCCAGCCTCCCTTGTTATCCAAGTTAACATTAGATAGAAACTATGCTATTGTGAATCACCCTGAAAAGACAAAAGCTAGCCAACCTCTCCTCTGGGAAGACCCTCAGGATTCTTATCACATTGATCCCTTTCTTCTCTGAACTTCCTTTGCACTGTGAGTTGAAAGTCTTCCCTGAATGTAGAAGTTGTTTATGTGCTATCTTGTGGTTTTCTCTATCTATCTCAATTCCCAGATCAGGTAGCTAGCTCCTCGGAGGGCAAGGCAAATATACCACCATCTAGGATTTTCAGAACAGACTATGGTGATATAGCTGCCATCAAGGACAAATATTAAAGTATGTGCCTTTCATACCAGGAAAGCATAGGTATCAATTGAAGTGATATCTCGTTGTTGTTATGATAACTTTACATTGACTCCATTTCCCCATGGGCAAGGAGCTTCCCAAATATAAATGTCATGTCTTTTCCATTCTACAGGGCCTAGAATAGTATATAACATGTTCTAGGTACTTAGTGTATATAAAATGCTTAATATTTATTGACTTTAAGAAAATAAAAATGTGCAAGAAAGGGAAAGGATGTGTAGTTAAAGAATACTCCTTGACTCAGCTGTGGACACTGTAACATAATGATAATAATGTATATTCCAAATATTTATTTAGCTGAAGTTGTAAGGAAGAATCTGTACCATTGCTGAAATTCAATGGGATAATGTCTAAAGTTGATAAATCAAGAGATCATGTAGAAGCGTGATTAGGGCCACAACAAATTAGGGCTTGGTTCAATTAAGTTACATGCCAGTTTGGCTCAATGGATAGAGTGTTGGCTTGGGGACTGAAAGGTCCTGGGTTCGATTCCAGTCAAGGGCATGTGCCTTGGTTGCGGGCATATCCCCGGTGGGGGTGTGCAGGAGGCAGCTGATTGATGACTCTCATTGATATTTCTGGCTCTCTATCTCCCTCCCTCTCTGTACAAAATCAATAAAATATATTTTAAAAATAAATAAGTTACATGCCCAAAGTCACCCAGCTAGGAAATGGTAGAGATTGGAAGTGGGATGGGCTGACTCTAAGATTCTCCTGCCACATGGCACAGAGTGAGTGTTCAGTTACATGAGCCATGAGTTCGTTAATGGTGGAAAATGCATAGAATAAGCCACAAAACAGTTAAGTCATTTTCTCAAGGCTCCACATTGGTCATGGCCATGCAGCTCACCCATTTCTCTGATTCCAGGGTGCTCTTCTCTCTGTGGCATCATGTTGCTGAGTCTACTAAGAGAAATAGTGTTAACTTCTAGACACTAGACACGTATAACCTGTTCAGGTTCCAAGTTCTGAATTCTCACATTTCTTAACATTGTTTTTAAGTTGTAAGTACAGTCGCTAAGCACTACGGAAGCAATGCCAAAGAAACTATTTCTGGCTGATTGTTGTTTCCTAATGGACAGAAAAAAATCTATGTCAATATTAGATTTAATGGATTTCTTCTGATCCAATTTAAAAAACTTTTCATCTGGCAAAATATGAATTTGAAGGCATTGTGGAAGATTATGATGAATCTGTGGTAGCCCTGATGTAGCAGAGGTCATTATCTGTCCCCCCAACAGTAGGACAACAGCTCTCACACAAGACTACTGGTTATTCAGAGCTTGAGTGGGTCATTTTATCAGAGCTTAACTCTACACTATTTGTCCATGGAAAACTACCTCATTCACCTATGGAAACCACCTCAGGCCTGGGTGTGGGCTACCTGTCAGGATAGTCCTGCCTTACTCAGGCAGTAGGTTGGTATCACTGATAGGGTCCTACACCCACCAGTTTTAGAAGGAAAAGACACTAGACAATCAGCCCACATCCTTTCTATCTCCATGACCTCTTTTTTGCATTTCATCTTGATAAGACCATATCTGTGTTCTTTTTAAGGTTCAGCTCAAGCATTATCATCTCCTTTGCTTCCCACTCCACAGCTTCAGGAATAATCTTACTCTTCAGGAAAGTTCCCCTACACTTTGTTTGTAATCACCTACTATTCTCTGCCTGGTGTCATATGGGTGTCCATCTCATTATCCCCAGTAGAAAGAACATAGACTTTAAAAGTAAAGACTAAGTCTTGCCAATTTTCAGTTTCCTCACAACTTTTAGGACCGTGATTTTTCTGTCTGGGACTCAGTGGATACTGGGTTGTTGAATTTCAGGCACATGTTATGCCATGTGGTAAAAAAGGTTTAGGAAGACAGTAATACCCACATTCTTTTTTCTAATAACAACTATCTGATTACTGACATGTTCTGTCAGGGATTCATCCTTTAGTTGTGGCTTTAATTTACTTCAGAACAGGGAAAACACTAAGCCAGACGCAGACTATGGCCAGTGGGCTAAATCCAACCTTCTTCCCATTCTTATATGGGATAATTTTTATATTTGTTCTTTTTTTAATTTAATTCCTTGGGGTGACATGGGTTAATACAATTATATGGTGCCTTGGCCAGGTGTCTTAGTTGGTTGGAGCATCATACCATACACCAAAAAGTTGCTGGTCCATTCCTGGTCAGGGCACATATCTAGGTTGCAGGTTTCATTCCCAGTTATGGCACATGCAAGAGGCAAGCTATCAATGGTTCTTTCTCACATTGATGTTTCTCTCTCTCTCCCTTCCTTTCTCTACAAATTAATAAACATATCAGGTGAGGATTAAAATATATTAAAAATAAAAATATAGTTATATAGGTTTCAGGGGTACAACTCTATAAAACATCATCTGTACATTGTATTGTTGATCCCCACCCAAGCCAAGTCTCCTTCCCTCATCATTTATCCCTTTTTTACCCTCTTACCTCCCCCTGCCTCCTTTTCTCTCTGGTAATCTAATTTTTACATTTTTCAATCATTGGTGAGGAAAAAGAAGAAAAATACTTTATAACACAGTAAGATCACATGAATTTTAAATTTTAAATTATATGATGTCATTGTTGATGAATAAAGTTTTATGGGAATGCAGCCATACCTTTTTGTCTTGCAAGATGAGTCTGTGGCTCTTTTGCGGCAAAACAGCAGTTAGCAGTTGAGTAGTTACCACAGAGACTGTACATCCCACAAAGCCTAAACTGTTTGCCATCAGACCCTGTGCAGAAAAAGTCTGCCAACCCCTGTTCTGAATCATCCTCAGCAATGTCTACAATGGTGTAAAAAAGGAATTAGTAGATCTTCTTATAAGGGAGGAAAGCATAGAATGCCTGAAGGAAAAAGAAACTTGGAAACAAGGAAGAAAGGAGAGGCAGAGGCCCACTAGGAAGTGCCAGGTCTCGGGGTTTTGTACACCTGGGTGGCAAAAATCTCCACTAAGCACCCTCAGTCTTTGTGGATTCTCACAGATGGTGGACATTAGCCGGGCAGATATTAGCTACTTTACATAAGCTTTATGGTCTCTATTAAGGACTCTGCATGGTTCCTTTGGACAAATTATAAGCTAGGGAAGGTGAGAGTAGGAGGTTATCAGTCATTCCCTACCATAACATGTACCAATGCTAACTAACACCAAAGGGCTCTATGTAGCCCACTTGTCTGACTCAACCCGTGGGGGAGGGGGTATCTATGTTGAGTGTATATCTATTTGTGTATTTCTTTAGAGGGAATTCCTGTTGGATGAATGCCAATGAATTATCACATGTGTGTGGATCATTAAACACTTGAAGTTTATAAAGAAAGACACATCAATTAGAACTTGACTAAAATCAGTGCGGCCTCTTCAAGAATTGGGGTGATAGTGTTTTGTTTAGAAAGCTGCTGTCATTTTCATGTGTTTCTCTTCTTTTCTTATTACAGGGTAATGCCCTATACTTCAAATCAGCCAGAAACGTGACAGTGAACATTCTCAATGACCAGACTAAAGTGCTAACTCGGCTGATAACAGGTAAGAGAAGAAAGAATCTTACATCACTTGATCCATGCTAAGCACTCAGAAAATGCACAGCCAAAGCTTGAATGTAAACCATGTGATCTAAAGAAAGCACATTTTACAGGGTGGAGAAAGGGAAGGTAGCATGTGCTCTATGGTTCTACCAAAGGGTAGTGTCTTTTAAAGACACATTTAACGTATGCAAATCCAATGATACTTGTTTGGGGGAATAGATTGGTTTTCATGTAGCATCGCCCCTAAACACAAGCCAAGGGCTTCCTCTAGTGTCAACCACAAAAAAGTTCTGCTCCAGTGCTGGAGGAAAGCTGGCTGTGTTGATTAGTTGAGAGAAAGAAGTATACACAAAATGGTGCTCACCATACTTCATGGGGTATAAAAGGGATTTTTAATAATGCCAGATTCACTGACTTTCACCTTACCTCAGTTGCAAGATGCAGATGTACCCCAATGAAAATGTTTGTGTGTCTCCTTTTCAGATAACAGATTTGCCCTTAACAGTTGTGGAAAGCACTTCCAGGTTTCTAAGCTGCATATTCCTGAAATGTAAACAGGGATTGGTTGTTCACAGTAATGCTTCTGGTGATAAACAGGGGCCTTCAGGCCATGGTAACGTGCTGTGTGGTATGACCAGTGCCCCAGTGGCATACCCAGTGCCTCCTCAGTAAGTCACAAGCAGCAGTTAACAGAAGCCAGCAAGCACCTCACAGTGGAAAGGAAAAAAGGGGGTGTTTGAATGACATTGTTCTACGTCCAAACAGAAAATGCCTTTTTTTGTCCTCAAGGCTGAGAGGAAACTATACAGATGGACATTTTGTGAAGGCAGTTGCCCACCCTCCCTGAATGAAATGTTACTGCGACTGAAACATCTGGAGCCCCACTAACACGCATGGCCCAGGGAAATGGATGCCTGCGTGCCTAGTCTGGCTGGGAAAGAGCCTCCCTCTCTGCTCCACAGGAGCCCTGCCTACGGCTGTCTGGGGTCCACAGCTCGTGGGTGACTTGGACCATCTACCAGTGAAGAATTTGGGGGTGGAAAGAGCAGTCCATAAACAGGTTGTTCCAGCGGGCATGCATGTGGATTGTTGGCGAGGCTTCCCGAACATCTGGCCCACAGTCACAATGCTAAATAATTAAATAAACAGCTTCAGTAAGCAATGATTTAAGTAGCTTGTGTGAAAATTGCCTCCAGGAGGGGAATAAATCCAACCTCCAGCTCCCAGAGTTCCACATTCAAAAGGAACTTATTTAGCCTGTTGATCATTTGCCATTTATTCGCAGTGGGAGATTTGGTTGATTTGAGAGATTTTGTTTTGATGAAGCTGAAACTGCCCAAATGACTATTTCTAAGCAAAGAAGCAAAGAATTAGTTTTTCCCCTCGTTTCTTTCTTTTCTCCTCATTCATTCTAATTCCCTTCCTCTCTCTCTCTCTCTCTTTCTCTCTCTCTCCTGTTTTCTCCACTCTCTCTCCTCCCTCCTTCCCTGTCTTCTGTTTTTCTGTCTCTCCTGCCCAAGTCAGCCCCTCTTGGGACACACCTATTCTTAACTCTTAAGGCCAGGCACAAGATAGCTAATGTTAGCAAGAGATGAGCAAAAAGCCATTCTACCACTAGCTGGGAAGAGCCTTTTAAGATGATTTCTAAAGAGGATAGCAGATGTGTTCAAAACCTAATTCTAAGCACTCTACTCACCCACACCCCACCCCGAAAGTTTTCCTTCAGGCTTCCCATTGACATTTATGCACACAGAGTTGCAGCTCCAAGAGATTCTGCTAAGTTGCTGGTTTACTTATCCGAGAGCAAATTACTCCTGTCATCCAAAAGTTGAGATTTACTATGGCAACCCATAAGATTCAAGAATTCCCGTTTAGTTGATGTGGCTCTGTGGTTGAACGTTGACCTGGAAACCAAGAGGTTGTTTCAATTTCTGCTCAGGGCATATGCCCTGGTTGGACCTTGATCCCCAGTACTGGGTGTGCAGGAGGCAGCCGATTGATATTTTTCTCTCATTGATGCTTCTGTCTCTCTGTCCCCTTTTTCCCCCCCATCTCTCTCAAATCAATAAAAACATTGGGGAGGGAGGAAGAGAAGAATTCCTGTTTACCTAAGGAATGTCTCAAAGCCCAGAAGAAATTCCAGTATTAGCAATTCATGTACCCTTTTCTGATGAAGCAATGTTTTAAGTGATGGTTAAGTTCCCAGGCTAGACCACAAATAGATTTTTGCCTTAGACCACGACTGATTTTAGTGTCTGCTCAGTAGTGGGTCATAGCAGGAAATTCTTGGACCTGTCACAATAAAATAGTGGGGGAATCTTCCACAACATCTCACTAGAGCGGGGAAGGGACCCAGTATCAAGAGAGTTGGGGAAAGAAATTTACTGGGTAGACTGTAGGCCTTTCTGGCATCCATATTGATGGCCACGCGGATGCATCCTGGTGGGTTCCAGGTCACCCTGTGGAGGAGATTAATGGAAAAGGTGCTTTACTTCCCATACAGACTATCATGCAGGGGGGGGGGGGGGGGGTCAGGAATTGTAGATTAGTTCCAGGTTACACATGGTGGGTTTTTCTACCCCAAGAGGAACAATGGGTTCACCTCCTGAGTAGTCAAGTCTCTGATTCCACTCGAATTCTCTCTAGAACAGCGATTTTCAACCTTTTCCATCTCATGGCACACATACACGAGTTCCTAAAATTCTACAGTACACCAAAATTATATTGTTTGCCTATCTAATCAAAACAACTGGTATAATGTTGATTCATTCACATGAGATGACTATTGTTGTGTTGGCAGTTGTCATTATTTGACAGTCTAAGGGAAAAGAGGTCAGTGCCTCTGACTAAACAGTCAGGTATTAAAAATTATTGTGGTACACCAGCAGGCCAGGGCACAATGGTTGAAAATGCTGTCCTAAAATCTTTTTTTTTTAAGATCTCCCCGTGTCCGAGGAGGTTTGGCAGACCCAGGTGAAATTGTCAAAAGCACAAACCTCAGTCTTTCTGTGAGGTTTTGGCTAAAACTACTTCTTAATGGGCTTAGTGGTTGAACATTGACCTGGAAACCAAGAGGTGGTTTCAATTCTTGCTCAGGGCATATGCCCTGGTTAGACCTTGATCCCCAGTACTGGGTCTGGCCCTCAGTAAATTCTATTTTGTGTTCTGAGAAGCCCTGCAAAGCAAGTAACTTAGTTGTGTTTTCTGTTCTCTGATTACTGCTGTCATCTCGTCAGTAAACTCTCCTGTATGTCACAGGTTCCACTTATAAGTTGGGAGTAAATACAGTTTACACGGAGGCAGGTGGTCTCAACTCCCCAGGGGCCCCATCTCATGTGATGGCCCAGGTCCATGGAGGCAAAGTTCAAGTGTCGGTGTTCCCAGTCATGCCATCACTTTGCCATCTGATTGGATCTAGAGTAGGCAACCTGGGCTCACCTGTGACCATTCCAGGGTCATTCATTCATTCATTAGCACTTCTTTACCTCCTGCTCCCAAATCACCCCCCCTAAAAAAGGTAACCGGGAGCATTGACAAGTAATACAGACTGTCCTGAAGGTTAGGGTATCACCAAGAAGGCAGCGCATCTTAGCCCTCCCAGGACAATGAATCCAAAGCCCTCGCCATACATCTCTATTCTTTCAGGTGCTCTCTCTCTCTGGTCCTTGTTTTCAGCTTTCTACTTCCCTCATCCTCTACAAGCTCTTTTTTTAATCTGATTCCATCTTCCTCCTACTTCCCGAACAAATAAATATCTTCTTTTTTTTTTTTTTTTTTTTTTTTTTTTTTTTTTTTTTACTGTGGAGCAATTATGAAAGCTCAGCTCCAGACCCAGATCTGCCACTAATTCACCTGATGACCTTGAGAGAGCACTCAATCTTCCTGTCACGCACTCTTCTCACCTGCAGCGTGGAGCAGTTGGTGAAGACAATGCCCAGGAGGCCTGGGCCATTGGAAATTTGGGGTTGTGTCTGCTAGTTCAGTTCCCCACTCGCTAAGAAGCTCCCAATGCCCTTTTTACCAGAGGGTTGTTGTGGATGTTCTAAGAAGAGATCAGGTATGCCTGGTGGATGTGATCATGTGCATGAGGCAAGTGTCCTAAGGTTCTGGCCATAATTCTTTTCAGTGTGTTATGACCACTGCGTTAGATGAGACAATCACAGGAAAAAATCCCCTACATTTCACAGTGTTTTTTACCTCCAAAGTTCTTTTTATAATCAGTGGAATGTGATCATTTTAAACTTCTGATGGGGTAGATAAAATAGGGTGATAGTACAATTTTACAGATGCAAAAAATGAGGTTCGGAAAGACTGAATGATTTTCCGAAAGTCACATTACTAGAAAATGAGCAGCCCTAGACATCCAGGGGCTGGCCGGGAACTGGCAACCAAGCCTTCAGGTTTGCCCTATTTGACCATAAATAATTCCACAGAGCATCAACACCAGACAAGGCTACTCAGTGGCCAGGAACTATAAAGAAAAAACAAAGACAGCTCAGACAGAATAAAAACATTTATCCAAACCACAAAAATGACCAACATTCCTCTATCCTAGCTAATAGGACTGTTGTTTGTTTATCCATTACACTTTTGGCATGGCTCTGGTCTTCCCAACCTCTAGAAAAGACTTATTAAGATACCAATCACATAATTAACCCCATTTTCTATCAGCAGCTAATTCCAAGCAAAATCTTACTCCCTTAAATCCAGCCCTAAATAAGCTAATATAAGGCCAAATACTATATAATAAATCCTTCCTTATTACTGGCATGCCTCCAGTGGTGTGCCTTGGGTGTGCCTCTCTCTCATAGCAATGTGTACTGAACTCAACTTGTCCAACAACTGCTGTGTTTCTGGCCATTTTTGCCTGGAAGATATGAGGACTCTTTTATTCCTACATTTTATAAATAATGAGAAGGAAACAAAAATTCTATATCAGAATCTCCTGGAAAATTCTGGTTAAATATAAGATTTTTATATCCTAACCTCAATTTTTTTTTCTGTATGAATTTCCAGGACAAACGATAAGTTCCTTTGTAACCTGACCTGAGCTTGATGAGAGTGATAACACTGACTTATTGTGATGAACTTCATGTGTTCAGGTAGCTCTAGGTAGCTCTAGCTCAGGCAGACTGAATTGTCTCCTTCCTTTTTTTTTTTTTTTTTTTTTGAATTCTAGACATTAACATGTTTTACTTTTCCCATAGTAGCTAAAATCCTCTGTGTCTATTTATTTATAAACCAGAGACACGATGCACAAATTCGTGCACAATTGAAATCTCGCTGGCCTGCCCCCATCAGAGCTAAACTGGCAGAGCTGGCTAGGGGGAGGGGCTTAGGATGGTTGGCTGGCCAGCCCCTCCCCCAATTGGGGTGGGTGAGGCAATCAGGGGTGGACTGGCCAAGGAGAGGATAATGGGCAGTTGGCCGGGCAGCCCCACCCCCTGGTCAAATTCCCAATCAAACTCCTGGTTAAGGGGACAATTTGTATATTAGCCTTTTATTATATCAGATGTTTCAATTTATATGCACTTGTCTCCATCAGAATGTAAGTGTTTTGGGACCAGGCATCTTGTTCTTTTTATGCTGCCATAGTCCTACCTTCAAGAATAGCATCTGTTGTCATATGATAAACCCTCTGAAATTTATTTTTTATGAAATAAAATTATAGCATGAAAGATTCAACAACTTCCTAGGCAAGTCATTACAAGATATTATAACCTTTCCTGCCAGGAAAGGATATATATATACTGAGGAAATAGATTTGTCTGGGACAGATTTCAACTGAATTTAAAGTCTCCTTTTACAACAGTTGGAGTGATCAAAGATAACTGGTTGCTTCATGAGGTTGTGAGACTTCTATGCCTTGATGTAGTCAAACTGAAACCTACAAGTACCAGTAATTGATAGTAATTTGGTGGTTAAGCTGAGGAAAATCTCATTCAAGCATTAGAAAGACATGGAAGAAGGACATGATGGCCTTTAAAATCATAGCCTGAGAGCATATGATAAAAGGTAATTTATAAGACATGGCTGAAGTCATGAGCCTGATTTTCGTGGTTGACTTCTGAAAACCAATCCATTTACATTGGAGTCCAATGCAATCTTGTCAGATGTACGCGCTCTTCATAATTGAATGCAATGAGGCTAATGTATTCTTCCTCTCTCTCTCTTCCAGGTCCAAAAGCTGTAGAAGCCTACGGCCAAAGGTTTGAAGTAAAGACAGTTTCTGGAAAATTGCTCTTCTCTGCAGATAACAATGAAGTAGTCGTTGGAGCTGAGAGATTGCGAGTTTTAGGTAAGGAAATGTTTTCATTGGTCTGATGCTACTGTGTCCATTTGAGAGTAAGAGTGGAATGGTGTCTAGAGAAGAGATTTATGCCAAGTACCTGGATTCTCTTAAGTCATTGAATCCCCCACTTGGAGCATGATCCCTGGTGAAAATTTCTCAGGTCAGGAAGTTTTTGTGGCACATCTGCCAGCACTGAGCTTAAGGGGTGGGGTGCCAGGAAACATAACATGGCACATCCAGTCCTTACAACAGGCAGTCTTTCGAGAAGCAGTCAAGACCTTTATGTGTGTGAGAGCGATTATGGAGCTTGGATGTAACTTGAGAATGTTCTTTGCTGGTGACTTCATAGAAAATCAGCACAATTGCGTTTCTGAATCAGTTTGGTTGACCTTTGTGAAGGTTTTATCTCTATTGAGTGGTTGTTTTATTTGTTTTAATCTAGTAGGTCTAGAGTTGTTTTTTACATCTATATTGAAGTAAAATTCTACTAAAAAAAAAAAAAAAGGTTTGTGTTCATGCACAGTGGGATGGTTTTGGTTTGACTTTTTTGTAGTCATGCTTTCTGAACATGGAGATGTGAGGTGATAAATCCCAAGCATGGAGCCCTTCAATTCTAAAATCTTTATGAAAAGTCTGTTACTTTAATCCAAACTAAAATACTCTCATAACCTCTTTTCTAAAAGTTCAGGGAAAATATATTATTAGGTCAGATTATGCATGATGAGAAAGGATCAGCCAACTCTGCTTATTTTTAAACTGGATTTTAAAATTGAATCATATACATAGCAATAAGGAGTGAGCATTTTTTTCTGTGCACCTATAGTTTTATAGTTCTTAATCTAAACTTAAAATTTAAATTATTCCTATTAGGCAAAAATAGAAGCCATCATATGCAGATGACACAGTGAGTTGGGGCTACTCTCCCACAATCTTTCAGGTCCCAGCCATCCTCATCTTCCTCCTGAATTATTTGGAAATTGTTCTTTTTTTTCTTCTTTTTTTTACCTTCTCATTTTATTATAGTGTTGGTGGTAGAATATACTGTAATAGGGGTCATCTCTACTTCTGAATCTATATATCACTATACTTCAATCACAGTATTATTTTTTCCTGTCTACCTCTTTGACTATGGAATATACTGTATGTCATCATTATATTAATATATTTAAATCTATAAATCTATTTTCCACTTTTTATACTGTTGGATACGTATGAAAACTTTTACTAGGTTATTGAAAAAATTTAGTTTTATTTGAAAATTTTTAAAAAATCACCTAGGGAATTTCTGAAAAGTTTAGGTTCATAGATCCAACCGTGACTTACTGAGGTAGAAGCTCTGGTGGAATGGCCCAAAAATGTGTCTGTAAAAACACTTGCAGAACCCGGCTGGTGTGTCTCAGTGATTAAGTGTCTGTCCATGAACCAGGAGGTGAGGGCACGTGCCCAGGTTGTGAGCTCATTTTCCAGTAGGAGTGTGCAGGAGGCAGCTGATTAATGATTCTTTCATATCATTGATATTTTTTTATCTCTCTTCCTCTCCTTTCTCCTCTCTGAAATAAATAAAAATGTATTTTAAAAAAAACACTTATGGAAATTTCTCTGGTCCAATAGTTGGAAGCATTGAATCTGAGAACATAAGAAATTAGTGTTTTGTGGCTATTCTGGTGCTTGGCTGACCTGGATCTTAATCCCTGCTGTTGTCTTTTAGATGTATGACTTTCATCTAGTTACTTACAACCTAGCCAGTTTTCTTTTCTGTTCAATTGGAATAAGAACATCTACTATCTCAAATTATCCCTACAGTTAAATGAGATCATATTATGTGTACTTATCACCGTGCCTACCACAAAACAGTACGCAGCCAGTAGTAGCTGCTGCTGTTAATACTCCTGCTACTGCTTCTATTAATAATATTAATACTACTTTTTCCTTTTATTGATCCCTAACAGTCTCTGAAATGCAGCAGTTAAAAGCTCAAAAATTAACCCAAAATATGATTTTATCCATCTGTATCCTTTCCTAGCTGCGTGCCCTTAAGCAAGTTATCTAACCTCTCAGTGCCTATGTTTGTTCATCTACAAAATGGGGAGAAGATTAATAGAACTATATACCTTCTAAAATTCTTGAAAGGATTGAATGAAATAATCTATGCAGAGTGGGTAGTAAATTGGCTAACAAATAAGTGTTCACGAAGTGCTGGAGGGAACTTACTATTTGTTCTCAGTATTATTAGTTTCACTAAGTATCTCCCTCCTCCATCACTGATGTCCTCCTCTGGTCATCGCCTCTACCCTCAATCAATCAGCTTGTCTGGTCTGTTTCTCTCTCTCTTACTCTCCCTCCCCCTCCCCATCAATCACCCCACTCTCCACTCTCACACTTGTATTTGTCCCTGACTTTCCTATTACTGTCATTGGCTCCATTATGCTACCCTGTCAATCACAGAACTTCAGCATCATCCTGACCAACATCAGACTCAGCAGAATCATAAGGTGGAAGTGGCTGCCCTGAGGGGTTCTATGGAAGTGAGAATTTGGGGTGCAGAGGCAGAGAGTGGAGGACAGCTAATCCCTGGTAAGGTGGTCCCTGTGGAACTGGAACAACACTCTGTCATCTAGCTTTTTCCAATCTATGAGAATTGGTTTTCTAGAGAAGAAGTTTAATTTTTTTTAATTCAGCAAAAAAGCCTTTTTATAATAAAATGAAAGGTCAGGACTGCTCTGGGTTGTGGGTAGGGCTTTGGAAGGGCAGAGGTCATAGATTAGAGTCATAGCTGCTCTGTGCTACCTCTTAGTGCTTATTTTTAAAAGCTCTTAAGTGTATGGTCTTTTAAAAAAATAAAGTTTATTGCCCACTTGTGATCCAAGTACCATGCTTCCTGTGCATTCTTCCATTTACCCCTCACTAGCATCCTGTGAGGTAGGCATCAGTTTATCACCCCCATTGACGGGGGGACAGACCTCAGCCCTGCACAGTGAAGGCTGAGAGCCAGAATTCCTTAAAAGCATTATACTTTCCTGCCTTTTCAAATGTATCCCATTTTCAGATGAGTAAACTAAGGCTTGAAAAAATTAAGAAAGTTGTCCAAGATCACGTTGAAATCCTTGCCTATGGACTCCAGGCTCAATGCACTTAACTGTATGTAAATATGTTGGTTCTAAGACCCTTTCCAGCTCTTACAGTTAATAGGTTTTCCCTATTACTTGTAGAAATGGCACTTTATGTGATAGTGCTAGGTTTGGGGCTTTAATCACACACACATACACTTTTCAAGCTGTTCTCTTATTCAAGTCTACTTTGCTCTACCAGCTGTAAAGTAATTGCCCAGGGGAAAGAGTGATGGTATCTCATGCCAAGATCCTTTTGTACAAATGGTGTTTGGCACTTCCCATTAGTTTCTTAGTGCTTCATGAATCAACTCGCTGCTTTTAAATCTGACTTTGCAAAGATACCGAGTAATCATAGATGTCCCAACACTTTGGTTGAATCTTAGTGTACAAAACTATACTGGTATCACTTAAGAATTTTCTTCCACCCACCCCACCACTATGCAGACTAAGGGCTGAAAAATTACTGTGTTTTTGGTCTCTTCAAGGCAGGTGGATGTTGTTGTAGTTGTCACTTGTGCTTATGATGGGTCTCTTTGAGACAATTTAGGATAAAATCTGTTTCTCTCCATCATTAGGAGCATTTGTTTCTTATGTAAAGGCATAGGAAGAAAGCATCATGATAAAGACCAGTGCTGAGATTAGGAAATGACCGCCCCACAAATCTTGCGTCAGCTGACTCAGTGAAATGAGCCTCGTGGGTTGCAGAAACAAGCTTCCTGTCAGCTGGGATACCGCCATATGGTGCGGAACAAGAAATTTAGGCAATTTCATCTTCAGCTTAGTGAGAAGTTTGTCTTTTGCAGTGGTCAGACTGCCAAACTGACCTTACAAAAAGGGCACTGGCTTATCACCTTGATTTATAGAAGAGCAAACTGAAGCACAAAGTGAAATGCAACTTGACCTAAGTTCCACAGGGACAACTGGTGGAGTCAGGATCTGAACCCAGGCAGTCTTACCCATGACACTCAATGGCCTTTTTCACAGTAACCTTCAACTTCACCAAATTCCACAGCTTGTGGGCACCAGTGAGAGCGGGAAAGAACAGGGCCACAGTTGTTTAGTTATTCCTCCGCTTTTTGCCTTTTATATACTCTGTGGTTCCCACATTTCTCCCACGTCGGACTTTCTCTGCTTCCCTCACTGATGGTTCTTTCACCAAAGAAACTATGTGGATTCACACTTGACATCACATGTGGCCACTCCCATGGCTCAGTCCTGGTTGTTCTCTTTTCACATTTTTATGGGAAATTACATAGAGTTGCAACATTTGCTCTTTTCAGCTGACCCCCAGTTCTGTATTAGCCTTGAACTGTCTTCTCAATTTTCATTCCAAATTCTCAGACAGCCTGGGCTTTTCTGCAAAGCTATCTTTCCATCACCTCGACTTCATCACCTGCAGCTGAACTTATATCTCTAACCAAGCTCCTGCCTTTCCAGAACCCACTTTCTTCATTCTCCATATGGAGCCACCATTCCCCTTACTCTGAGCCCTTGCTTTTATTCAGGGACCAGACCCTGTCTTTCTTCATATAGGCATGACTATACCAATTTTGAGTTTTCCATATTACAAAAATATCTAATTAAGTCTGACCCAAGAAAACTTAGATCTGTTGTCAGGTCCATCAATTACCCAAAAAAGTATAAAATTAGTGTGCAAGATGTGGTGTGGTAGAGTTTAATTATAAAACAAAATTAGTAAATATTGTACAGGAATAGTCTTTTAAGAACAGCAAGAAAACTCACAACATAGGCCAGTGCATCTAAGAGGCATCTTGGTGGAGACAGCAGGGAAACATAATTTTGATTTTCATTAATGGCCTATTTCATTGAAAAGTGAATTGAACATTATAGCATTCATAAACAATGCATAATTATAAGGTGTTATTCTAATTGCTA